AATCCTCGAACAGGTCGATTTTTAATTTAAAAAATACATATTTATGCATAAAAGGCGATTTTCAACCGTCATTTGTTTTCGAGTAATGACGTCATCGACACTTTAAATAGCAACCCTCTATTTTTTTTTATTCTGAAAGATCGTTTCATTGTCGATCCGACAGTATTAAAATGTTGCCATCTTACATAGGAAAATTTTCGAGTAAATGACGATTGAATGTTAGAAAACCCAAATCAATTAAAATAAAGCAAAAACGTTATCAAATTTAGTTTTTCGAAATGCCTGAAGTTTTTTATGGGTCACGTTGGTGTAAATCTTTACAAAGTGTCACTGTCATACCGACTTTCTAAGTATTGTAAGCGATATAAAAATTATTTCCCCAGATCTTACACCCCTGGACTATTTCTTATGGGGCTTCTTAAAGTCCAAAGTGTACGTTAATAGACCACATAATTTAGAAGAACTCCAAAATTGTATTATAGATGAAATACACAGAGTTACTCCAGAAATAATTCATAATGTGCAAGAAGAATTTCTATAAAGACCTGCGTATTGTCAAGAAGTCGGTGGTTGGCAATTCAAACACTTAATTTAGGTAGAAAATGAATTGTATTTGCTTGACATAGGAATTGTTATTTTTTTAATGAATAAAATTTACGTTTTCTAAGATTCAATAGTCATTTACTCGAAAACTTTAATTTGTAAGATAGCAACATTTTAATACTGTTGGATCGACAATAAAACGATCTTTCAGAATCAAGAAAAAAAATAGGGGGTTAATATTTAAAAAAATATCGATGACGTCATTACTCGACAACAAATGACGGTTGAAAATCGCCTTTTATGCTAAAATATGTATTTTTTAAATTTAAAACCTGTTCCAGGATTTTTCCCAAAAAAAATTTGTTTCGATTTTACTGAATTTATTCCATACTTTAGGCGCGTACTGTATATTTCCAGTAGAAGCTAGAAACTGTCTGTGGATTAGGTAATTGTTTATTCAAATCCCGTCTGACCCAGTAGAACTCTATAAGCGGCTTTTTTCTATGTAAGGGGGGTGCTGAGTGCCTACATGGTGTCAACCTGTCAACCTGTCAACTGGTGCAAACTAGCCTGTAGAAATTGTGACAGCAAGATTAGAGTTGAAAACAATCTATACCACAAAGTAGTTTCCCAAAAAACTTTGTTCTGTTTTATTGTCATTGTCAATATAACTATAATCGTCATAATCGTTACTAATATAACGAGCGTTCAAATAAAAACGTGGTCGAAGTTGGCTCTGACACATTGGACGTAGGGAATAGCTTATAGCGACCAACTTAACCTCATTTCTCAACGAGCTGTATAGCAGCTGTCAGTTTCAATAACGTTAATGACTATATAACTTTATTTTAAAGAATAATCGTGATAACAATAACAAACAATTAAAGGAGCTGCGGAAAGTCCCCCTCCTTGTTATAACACTTAAATGAAACCAGGCTTCATCAGAAAAAAAGATGATATTATGAAGTTCACCGTAGTTGTTTAAAAACCATTCACAAAATACAGCCCGTCGCGGAAAATCAACTTCATGAAGTTCTCGCTGACAAGTTAAACGATAGGAGAACAAACGCAAATCTTTTTTTTAACACTGTGTGGCAGGTACCGACTGATACTCCCACCATTTGTGATAAAACACGTACAGAAGTTCTTGGCGCATTTTTCATTATTTGTTGGACATTTTCTTTTAATTCTTCAGTCCGCTTTTTAGGTCGGCCGCTTCCTTCTTTTCTTGTTACACTGCCCGTTTCACGAAAAACACAACGCTGAACTGCACTTTGAAAAATTTTGTACTCAACAACGCCGGGAAATTGATTTTGAAATTCTTTGAAACATTCCTCAATAGAATACTTCCATATTCCATCAATCTTGCGTCCATTTCTAAAGTAGGACTCTATGATAAACACTTTTTGTTCTTGAGAAAACACCATTTTAAACGCTTTTTAAAACGAAAATATTCAAATTGATAGCGGCGATATAGCGCTTTGACAGATGACGTTTAAGTTCATTTGCTATACGCTACGCCCTACGTCTAAATTTTCAGAACCAACTTGACCACGTTTTTATTTGAACGCTCGTTATTACATGACTTTCATTTTCTTATTTGGATGCCTTCTTCAGTGTACGAAAGTGATGGTTCTGGCAAATGCAAATTGTTGGTAATTTTGCTTGCTACACTTCCAAAAGTATGGATTCCAACTGGCTGGACTGTGCATTTACCATTTCTATAAGTTACTTTTCCTTCTAACTCTGAAGTGGTCACAGATATTTGAGGCCTGTTGGTCTTTGTTTTAGTTAGGTACATGAACAACCAGAATTATTTCTTTATGCTCTATGTCACTTACTTTTAAGTTCAAAAGTTCTTCATTACGTAAACCTATTAAAGGTCAATTACTACATTTATATCAAATTATTTTTGAAAAGTTAGCATAAATTAATTACCTTCATCATCAAGATTTTACCCGGTGCATTTAGTAAAAATATATGTATTTCTTTTGGAATATGATTTCTTTCTTTTTGTTTTAAAAAAGCCGTAAATTTTTACATACAAAAAATATTATCTCGGCTTCAGAAGGTCGTAGAGCAACCTTTTTTTTTAATTCGCGTAATAATGCCAGCAATCGATTCCTGTAATAGACATTATCGAGAAATGAAAATCGAAAAAGATATTCAAGAAAAACGCTACCAAAAAATTTTTACTTTCTTCAAAGTCATTTTTGGACACTTGAAATGTATAAAATCGTTATCACTCTTTTTTACCATGAAAGTACAACCCTTAAGGAAATAAATGAGCCCTGATTCGTTTCTCTACGACTATTCGTCGAGCAAGAAGAGACGATTTTCGAGATGACCTTTTTTTTCAAAAAATCGATACAACTCGAAAATGTTTTAATATTCTTTATTTAAAAAAAAAGGCGCTATTTTGATTGCCGAGGGCTACATTTACAGCAAGTAACGAGTTTCAAAACCTTCATTTGCAAGAGATCAGAAACAAGTTATAAATTAAATATTGCGGAATGAACCTATTCTAGCGAATTTCTGGTTAACATCTTGACATTTTCCTGTCATTTGGCATCGCTGCACCCATGCCAATTTATCAGTGTGAATGCCTCTATAGTTACCTATTTTTGAGTCAATATTTAATATTGGGTACTAATGGAATCTTCATTCAGAATGCTGCATAATGTAACTCGAGAAGAATATAAAGAGTTTTCTGGAAACTTGTTTAAACAAACTTTGTTAACACTGTCATTAAACTCAGGGGTCGGGGCATATGAGCAAAGAGAATATACTTGTTTGTGGAAGAAATACTCTAAGATTTAAAAGCCAAACACTGCGGACACACCTTAGGTCTCTCGAAACGGATATCCATCTGTTAAGCAGACTAGGTGTAATAGTCTCAGTCTAATAAAAGTTAATGTGTTATAAAATTTTAAATTGTGTGTCGCAACATTCCACCTTTCTTTGTTTAGTGTGAAAAAATACACACAAATCTACATTTAGCCTTAACAAGGTAGTGGATATCTACCACATCGTTTCTAACATCGAAGTTTGCAGTGCTAGTATATCACTTTAGCAATCATCATACAAGTCGAGTAGGTACCCAGTATATGACCCATTCAAACAAAGTTTGTTGTCTCTAGAAGATCTTTCCCACGCAACATTCGTGAATGTACCTCTGTAATTACTTACATACCTACCACTAATTCAATTATTAACTCGGAGTGTTTGCGTGAGAAAACTGTAATGATATGAGCGCAAATATTTATAGTACGTTTATTTTATTTCTAACCAAGTCATGTACGCTTATTTTTTTGTCGGGGATCTAACAAACTTACCTCTATCTTGTTCGTGTAGGTCAAGAATAGTACCTACCTAATAGACCTAAAATTTAAAGTAAAATGAAAAAAACAACCTGTAGCGGAGACGTGGATTCAATGGTTTTAATAAGCTCGCCATTAGTTTTATAAGTTACGATATCAAATAAATCAAAGAGCCTAATCTTGCCCACAGATTTTGACATTTGCAAGCCGTCACAAATGTCACAGTCCAGAGGGCATTGTGATCGACGTACAATTAGATGAAGAACCCCTTGTTCCTTTAGCCGGCGGGGCCCAGCCAGGACAAAAGGAGGTTCCACAAAGCGCCTACACCGGCCGCATTTGCGGTCGGGGTAGACGACGGATGGGGCCCACCTACGAAGGCTGTCCAGGCCTACACGAGATGAGGCAGGATAAAGAGGGATAATCCCCCTCGATCTCAAATCATTGAGGCCAATTTCTAGCCATAGAATAATGGCGCGCCCCTTGTTCCTTGTTCTACACATCTAAGGCTATGCTATCAGATAAATCAAAGTAAAGAGTGACGTTGGCCCACAAATTTAGAACTACTTACTATCGAAAGTTTGAATAAAATTCCGTTTTTCACTTGGAAACAGTTGAAAATAGCTTTGGGAGTGTTAAAATCGTAAGTCGTACCCACCTTAGAGCATGGAAATACATAGAGGACGCACCGCGTGTTAAAAAGTACATTCGCTCTCTCTCTCTGTCTTAATTTGACGACGAGTCAATCTGGTGCACGCACGAAAGAGAAAAATAGTGCCCAAACTACTTCTTTCTCTCTCTGTCACTCGTCTACACTGTCCTAAGCGTGCTACTTCCATGTTAATATGCTCCAAGTATCCACCCATTTATAGTCATTTCAGATTGCATGGGATATGAATAAATGGTTGCCTTATCCACAGGCTGTATTAGTGCATTTAAAATATATCGGGTTCAATTTCTACTGTAAAACAGTTATGCAACCAGATCTACAAATTCTTTATCAATATTGATATTAAGTTATATGTCGATAATTTTTCCTGACCGAACGATAAATACTTTGAATGAATAGAAAACGTAATTCTGCAGTAATTGTTTGTCATGTTAATGAAAGCAAAGTTCTTGTAAATGAAACAAATATACGTGAAAATATTATATTTTGCAAAACTCAACAGAAAATAGGTATATCACAACCTGTGATGCGTGTTTAAGTACTCTATAAAAAGACGGTGGATCTTATCCAAGATCCTGCAAGTTTCCATTTTAACGTAGGCCAGCTTGTGTTCGCATTCCGATAAACTCAGCAAGGGATTTTCGTTGAAACCGTCCACCTCGTCGATGAGGTCAAGGAATTGATCCTCGTCGAACGAATCTGTACTATTCGCAGCCACCCACAACTTGACGGCATTGTAGAGTACGGGTTTACGAGAGATTCGCAAGTAGTGCTCGAAAACTACACGGCACTGTGCATCCTCCAAGCAATTTTTTATTCTATCGTTAAATCTCTCTATTTGCTGCGGAGTGAATTTTGCTTCGGCCATTGGTTAACCTGCAAGAATATATTTAATAATTAAATAGATATAATGTGAAGAACTTGGAACAGATTTTTTAAAACAACACTGTATAGTTTTAAAATATAAATAAATTTATTTGTGTTCAAACACTTACATGTCTTACAAATTATTTGTAAACGAAAATAAGTGCACCAATTTCGTTCTTATATATCTATTGTTCATTGTTTCATTTCCTGAGAAAATAAACCTTGACTTTGAGTATTCACCAAACACAGTTTTGATGATCTAATTCAGGAACTTGAAAAATAATTTATTCTTATATACTGTGAGGATGTTAAACATGCACAAGATACTCGCTTTAAAAATAAACTGGGGATACAAATATAACACCGGGTCACTGATTACCGGAAGCACCTTGCGATTACGAATTTCTTAACATCGTTCTCGCAAACTACAAGAAAAATCGCTTTTATGTTGATTTTGGTTAGGACGTGAAATCGATATTATTACATCACAGTTAATATTATGTCAATACTTAAAATCTACATTTAAATATTTTTGTGATACCAGGTGGTTTAGCTTAAAACTTCCATTTCTTCAAAAGCCGTTCTGAATTTGAATATTTGCCTTTTTAATCATAAGTTTATATTTGCATGAACAAAATTTCCCGCGCAACCATTTTCGGCGTATGACCCATAGACTATAGAACAGAAAATTAGATGTGCCATCTATATCATGAAGCTTTGTAAAAAGATTACCTTACATAGACCAACCAAGTTTAATTCTAGAAATAATAAAAAAGAGATTTTTCTCGAACTCGTTTTAAATTTTATTTGATGTTACCGATCTTTAAATTTTAATAACTACAATACGCTGATATAATCAGCAAGTGAATTACCCTTTGTATTTATAACTAAGCTCCTCTGATATAATATGTCACAGGTATAGCAGATTATGTGATAATCGATGATTTTTTCTCGTGTAAATTTACTTAGGATCAGTATTTTAAGGTGATAAGTGGATAGAATGGGTCAATTAAATATATATAATTTATAAGGAAAATGATGTATTATTTTGTCTTACGTCACGGCAAATTTGGGCATTGAAATTTCGTATACTTTTCATTCTCTACATTTAAAAGAAAAGTTTCGGAAATATAGCAAATTGTTTTTCAACCATTAATCTAACTTCCTGGAATAAATACGTTTGTCAGGTAAATTTATTAAGAAGTGCAGAAATAGCCCCTTTTATTTTATTTTACTTTTAATAAAAAAATAAAATTGAGTATTATGTACCTATGTAAGGTATTAACTTGACAAGGAGCAAAAAAGGGCCAATGAAACAGCCCGTATTTCCGAGACATTTGTTTTAAAAGCCACACCTCTATACCTACTATAATGTAAAAAACAATGTTTTTTGTACACAAAAAACGAAATAATTAATCGTAACCTACAGAATATATAAATAAATTATAACTCACTTAAAAATGTACCACCAGGTTTTAACAATACTGTTACTATGTCACTGTAGGAAGTACGTGACATACTAATTTTTGGAGGACTATCTATATCAAATTACGCCATTTTTACTTTGCTTATCTTTAAGTTCAGTGCAAAAGTATAAGATATGACCAGTTTTCAGCTTTGAAATTTCATTGAAATCAACGAATTTAATATAGTGGTGTAGTTTATTAAAATATATCCAAATTAATCTAATTGTAAAATATGGAAATATAGATAAATTAAAAATTGATATAAGCCATATAAATCTCGAATAGGTAATTTTTTAGTGTGATAATTCGATTAACTGTTCAAAATAATAAATACCTAACAAATCTGAATATCCAATAAAGAGTGGATAAGTTTATGTTATGTTATTTATGCCTCAAAAATTCTGCATTGGCAAGGCCGAACTTTATAGGCAATCTAATATAATGATATGTATTGAACTGTGACTTCTACTTCTTATTCTTTTATTGTACTTCGTCCATTAGCCAATTAACCAACGTTTCACAGGCTAGGAGCGCTCCAGAGGTCACACTTATCTTCCCTCTTAGAGAATTTCATCACTTTGCTATTTAATTTGTATGCTGGAGAATGTTACTGTAACAATTAAATATTACACTTCCCCGAAATGGTTTACCTCCATTTATTAGAGAGCAACCAGGTTTTTAGTTGGTAGTCCATGCTCACAGCGAAAAAATAGTATTCTATTACTTGTGGTTCGTGGTCCGTGGTTTGTGTAATTTTTATTTTTGACGCTGATGTGTCAATTTTATTTGTTTATACCTGTTTTAAGTTGTACGAATGCGATTGTAGTGTTCAAAATGTTGTTTGCTTAAATTGTAATCTCTATAGCAGCGAAGAATTTACAGCTGTATAAATGTGTGCTTAAATAGTTGCCAAAATAACACCACCAACATGACAACATCAGAGCAAATAGGTTTGAACAAAACCTGGGAGCTGTCGTTATACGAGCTTCACAGGACCCCACAGGAGGCAATCACAGACAACACAGAAATAGCAGTATCTCCAAGAAGCCTGCATAGTGAACTTATGTGCCCCATATGTCTCGATATGCTCAAAAAAACCATGACCACCAAGGAATGTTTACACCGGTTCTGTTCAGACTGCATCATAACAGCTCTAAGGTCTGGCAATAAAGAGTGTCCCACATGCAGAAAGAAACTAGTTTCGAAACGGTCTCTGAGACCTGATCCAAACTTTGATTTGCTTATTTCGAAGATATATCCTAGTAGAGACGAGTACGAAGCTCACCAAGAAAGGGTTCTGGCAAAGTTGAACAAGAGTCACTCGAGAGAAGCTTTGGTGCAGTCTATTAAGGAGGGCATCAAGATTCAGTCGCAGAACAGGCCAAACAGGGGCAGGAAGAATAACGAGACTGTCATCAGTGAAAACCAGGATGATAATGCGTCAAGTGCTGCAAATGTAGCCAATTCTAATGAGAGCACAGTAAGTTTTATTCATTGTTTTTTAGTATTTTTGCAAAAATTTTTATAAACGCACTGTTTCTAACATGAATATGTCTACAATCATGTGAAGATAGGTGTCGTTTTTAGAAATTCAGGTGTAATGGAAATATGACACATTTTTTCTGTTCATAACTTTGGAACAGTTATACCAAAGTGTTAATTAAAGTTTTCCATATTTTCTTTTTATTTGTATTTTCCGATCGTACCAAGGAATGCTGTTTGATTTAATTGTATATGATTCAGACATATCCAGGTCCTGTAACTCCTTTCATTACATCATTAAAAAACTTTTCCATAAACCTAATCGGTTTTAATTTCAGTCTCAGTCCCAACAAAGCACTTCGAACCCCCCAACAGCGCCAGCAAACGCTGCACCTCCAAACACATCTACATCCACGCCAGCCACCAGCAACGCAACTGCTCCTATAAACACGAACATTCCGAGTCCTTCGCCATCGGGGCGCAGCACCCCTTCTCAACCTCCCAGCCCCGTGTCGTCCAGCGTCAGCTCGATCAGTAAATCGTTGGGGAAACGACCTAAGAGCGTCATGACCTCCGAGCGCAGCGAAGAGAGCGAGTCGAGCGAACGCACCGAACAAACCGACACCGAGGGTGAGGGCCCTTTGGAACCGATGACGCTGAACGAAATCGAGCTCGTCTTCAAGCCCCACCCCACCGAGATGTCGGGGGACAACCCCCTGGTGAAGGCCTTGAAGGAGAACTCGATTCGTTATATTAAAACGACTGCTAACGCCACCGTCGACCACCTCCATAAATACCTGGCGATGCGTCTCACGTTGGATCTGGATTCTCAGTTGCCGACGACGCACAGCCTTCTCAATTTTTGTATATACATCTCCCCGACGACTGGTCAGTACGTGCAGTTGAACGGGAACCAGACCTTGGGGCAGGTGAACGACAAGTATTGGAAGGTGAACAAGCCCCTGGAGATGTACTACTCCTGGAAGAAGACATAGGGAATGCGCAAGGGGCTGAAAAGGGCCCCCTAGGTGTCGCAGGTATGAGGTATGTCGTCTCTTGTGTTAAGATTAATCGTGTTTTGTCAGTGAGTTGTGATGTGAGTTTTTTTTTGGTTTATTTACTATTTTTTCCAAAGCAGGTATGATATTGTATTCGGTAATTATTTGCTGAAGTATAAAACCTTCGAATTTTCACGAAATTTTGTCTGCACCCCTATTTTCGATGGTGTTAAACACTAATCTGGTTATTTTTTCGTTGTCGGTTTTACCAAATACAAAATTTTTAATAAATGTGCTGCCCGTAGAAGTAAATTTTCGGTACTTAGTAACCTTATTTCATAAGATCACAAAAAGTGAGCAGGAAATTCAACAGTGTGAAGATGCAACGACGTCATAAAATTAGAAAAGGCCATCGATTTAATCCCAAGGAATAATGTAAATTTTTTTTACATTTTCCTTCAATTTTTGAACATTTTTCCCGGATTTCAAGAAATTTTGATACAAATTTTTTCTCGGAAACTAAGTTTGACTGTAAACAATGATTTTAAACTTGTGTTAGGCACACTTGAAAATACAGGGGTAGGCAGAATTTTAAGCATTCTCGGGAGTTTTACGCTTCAGAAAATAATTACCTCTTTGCGGAATGAAAATGAAGATACTTTAGTTGATTTAAATTTGTGTTAAGAGGGCTCTATAGCAAATAGGCGATCAGCAATACATTTTTATAGATTTTATCACACAGTTTGTCTAAATATGAATTAATGCACAAATAACAGACTTTCCTCCGTTCAAGTGCAGATTTTCTATAAAATTGACTTAGTTTGAAACCCAGATTTATTTTCGTTGTAAAGAAATTTGTAATTTACGATGCAAATTACAAATTTCTTTACAACAAAAAGTTATTTGGGTTTCGAACCAAGTCCATTTTATAGAAAATCTGTTTTAAAATGGGGGAAAGTCTGTTATTTGTGCATTAATTCATATTTAGAGAAACTGTGCAATAAAATCTATAAAATTGTATTGTTGGTTGCCTATTTGCCCTCTTAAAAGTATTTGTTTCTATGAAAAAGTTTATTTTATTCGAAAAATCAATTTTTAGTTACTAAAATATGTGTACTTATATCTGTTCTAAATTCTAGATTGATACGTTCAATATTTCCCTGAAAATTCTGTGAAACATGATCATTTCGTGAAAAATTCAATTATAATTTTGTCACAATGTGTCACAATTTTTATTACAAAAAAATAGTGAAAAAAGAAAGGAAAGACATGATTTGTATTTAAAAATGTAAAATATATTTAGTTTTTTTTGCGTTTCTGTTAATTTTGTATTTTTTGAACAGTTTTGTCTATTATCAACGTTATGCAATAGTCTCAGTTCAAATAACATAAAAAATGTGCAGCATATTATGCTTCTTTTAAATAATTGTACTGATCTAGAATCCTTATTAGTGTCTATATTATCTGTCATTATCTATTTGTGGCATTTTTTATTACTTCTTTCTTATTTAATCGGGTATTTCTGCCGTACTGAAAAGAAAACGAAATTTAAAAAACTTCCTCTTGCCCCAAAAGTATTGATCAATGGACTGATTTTATTAACTTAGTTTGCTTAACCACACAAACAATCGAGTTCGGGCGCTGCCCAGTAACGGTGTAGACGAGAATTTAGGTGCAGTTTAAAATACGGATTGTAACTCGACTATGTATTTAATTCAAAAACAAATGAATTTTGGGTTGGTATTCTGGGGAGTACATACTATTATCCGTGAAAAATTGACCCGAACCCCAAATTTTGTAATATCTCTTAGCGACATTGTATTTGTTGCGAGTAAAGGCGGCAAAAGGATAAAGCAAATCTTTTTTTATCACCTCTCAATAATTTTGATTGTTGTAAAAGTTTTTGAAACATTTAACGTGCAATGCACAGCGAAATTGTGAACGATTGTTATTTTTCTCAGTGTGAGATCGTTTTGGGGCGAGGCTATATTTATTTTTAAATCTTTTTCAACATGAAACGCAGAAATATGCAATTAAATAAAAATAAAGTAATTATCTCTAATTTGATGTAAACTTTTATGTCTTCTTCCCGCTGTAAGTGTAAATAAGTCTACACTCCTTAACCGAAATCAAATATGGGATTTTTGTAAATATTTAAACAATTAAATATTGTCAAATTGCTAGCGTCTTTTTCTTTCATTGTAGCAACAATTTTATTGTAACGTACGCGAACATAATTTATTTCAATTCTCGATACCGTCGGACATTACATTCTTGAAAATGGATAAAACACTTATCAACCTCTACACCTTAACGTGTACTTTATTTTTAAATACCGCCATGTGTCTGATAACGAGCCTATTAGAGTTATCAGTTCTAGGCCTCATTTAACCTTTGCGAACTTTTTCTATTCGTGTACGACACACGAATATGGTTCTGATATGTCGGAATTCAGTGACATGATGAACTTTGCTAAATTTTTTTGTGCCGTTTTCCTGATCCTCTTAATTTCGGACATGAGTGAAGGGAGACATGTGATAGAAGGTAAGTACGAGGAGTTGTTTTAAATAAGAAAATTCTACCTTCTCATTTTTTTTTAAAGAAATTGCCTTGTAGTTATGGAAATCAACATTTGTGTTTTTTACGATAATTAAAATATTCAAATTTCTCCACTTTTCCATGATTTTTGTTGCTGAACTGCAAGTTCTTAAAAATGTGTATTTATTTTCTTAATTTGAACGTTTTATCCAATTATGCAACACACCTTTAAATATTAAGGGGTTGAATAACGTCAAGTAATATATATTTTCTTTTTTAGAAAATTACAGTTTCAAAGGAAAATCTTAATTTAGTTTTTTTTTAATGCAATTCTTTTTTAAAAGTAATACTGGTAAAACTCCTTTAAAAATTGAAGGGTTGCATAAACATTAAGTAATGAATTTAGTAGCTTAAAAAAGATTAATTATTGAAAAAAATAACTGGTAATGCAACCAGTAATGCCTTGAAGAGAATAATGGGTTGGATAATCAAGTAATATTTCCTACGATGTTTCAATTTTCCCTCTTTCCCCTGATTTTTATTATAAAATTACAGTTTTCTTTTAAATGATCTCATTTTAAAGGTTTAGCATCATTGCATTATATAAACCACAGATAATATAGCTTATCGCCATAGCTATTTTCTGTTTAAACAATAATTTTCGATTATGCAACACGTAATACGCGTTTAGAGATTAAAGGGTTGCATAAACATCAAAAAATTAATATTTTTACAATATGTAATTAAAACTTTAGAACTTTTTCCCACTTTTCCACAAAAGTACAATTTCTTAAAAAAATAATCTTAATTTAACTGCTTTGTATTAAAGCACTGCTTTGTGATGTAATCCGTTGTACAATCAACATTCCTCTGCGTATGAAAGAGTTGCAATAGTTAGCCTTTACGACGATATTTAAAAATTTCGAAAATACCATCACTTTCCCTCAAAATTTACAGCTTCAAAAAAAATTTTAATTTAAATATCCTATTTTAGTGCTGCGCTTTTTTTAAAGTAACTATTATGCAACCAGTAATACTCTATTAAAGATTTCTAAGTAAGTAATAGTCCTTTGAAACAATAATTAATATGTTTAAAGTTGAATTTTCCTTAATTTTTCTGTAAATTCTTATCTTAAAAAGGACTTATTTATATTGCCATTTTAAAAGTAACCGGTTATGCAACACGTAATACGCCTTGAGAGATTAAAGGGTTGCATAAACATCAAGTAATGAATATATTCGTTTTATTGGATCGATCCGGAATTTATTCGAATTCAAGTCACATCTGACATTTGATAGATAAAACAATCAAAACATATAATGGTGACATTTACAACAACAAGTAACATCACAAATTTGATCTCGCCACCACTTAATAATTCTAATTCCGTCTCAAACTACAGAAGCAGAAGTTGCAACCGGATTCAAAATTTCCTTGCAATAAAACGGCCATTCTGCATAATTCAATTCCTGAATCAATGCAACAAAACGCACCTATTAATCTTAAAATGTCTTATTTTGTGAATTAGAACTTTTTTAGCACGCATTCTAAAATAAAAATTTTTGAAATCGGCCAAAAAATAAAGTTGCAGGCTAGTATATATTTAAGCGCAACACCCTGTACAACCAACACTACCATAATTAATACATTTTCACGAAATAATGGCACTTCATTGAATAATAACGTTTATTTTATTATTTTTATAGAACGCTCTCTTATATCTCAAGTAACCGCTCTGTCTAAGATCACCACGGACCTTTCGAAAGGGGACTACGTAGCTTTTCTCATCGACGTAATCGCCATAGTACAAGACTTGCGAGAATGGCCCTGGCCAATGAGAATAGCTTTGCGGCTCATTAAGAACCTCTTGCAAGTTTTACACCCCGTATATCTGTGGCTGTCGAGGGTGTTCGACTCCTTTGGCTCTTCTGGTGGCAGCGGGGGCATGATTGGCAACGTGGAAACGGGTATAAAAATGGGGGCCTCCACGTTGCAGCGGGCCCTGTCTTTATTTCAAAATTCAAACTTAACTAGGCATTTTACATAGTATATTTCCAGGTAAATGAAATGTTTCGGTTACGAATGTTTAAGATTTTATCAATAAAATTTTGGAGCTTTTATTATCTGTATTTGGCTTTTTTCGCTTGAAAGCGTAAGCGTAAGATTAATTGCTTTTAATTATTTGATAACTGTTATCTTCTAAATTAATGTAAATACAACTTAACAGCAATAGATAAAGTCGGGATGTTTTGAAAAAATAGCCGCCCAAGACAATAATTACGTACATTGTCATGCGAGTTTAGTGTACCACTCCCGTGGTCGACTATGTTGTGATAATAAGAAATTTTAGACCTTTAAACCGGTTCAGTGCGTTGTTACTTTATTTTTCTGCTTTACTGTTGTCGCAAAATGGCATCTCGCACGGTCGGAAAGCTTTTATTTTCTAAATTAACGGCGAGTAGTGTAAAGAGCATCAATTTTACCCAAAATGTGAGGTTATTTAGCAGTCCGGCCCCAGCAGCAGGTAAGTACACTTTTGCGTTACGAAATCCACTTATTTTGCTTTATTTCAACATTTTTATTACCCTTTATCAGTCATTCATTACCATTTCCTTACATTTATGCAAAGAAATCAAAGAATCAGCTGATTTTATAATACGAGGTTAATTCCAATTCGAGTTCAGTACATACGAGGGTATATCAAAAACTTGTGCATATTTTTCAAATGCGTATAATTCCTCATTCGTATTTCCAGCAAGTTTCGAGTTCATAAAGGTCGCTAAAGCGGGGGCGAAGAACAACGTGGGGATCATAACCTTAAACCGCCCGAAAGCTCTCAACGCGCTGTGCAATGGCCTCATGGAAGAAGTGGCCAATGCTTTCGATGTCCTCGAAGCAGATTCTTCAGTCGCAGCTATTATTATAACCGGAAGCGAAAAGGCGTTTGCTGCGGGTGCAGACATTAAGGAGATGGGCAACAACACTTATTCTCGGTGCGTTGCTGGGAATTTCCTTGGCCACTGGAATAGAGTGGCTGCGGCATACAAGCCCGTGATTGCAGCCGTTAATGGATACGCTGTAAGTAGTCGTAGACATATTTGCTGTACCCTTGGAAAATTATATCTTCAACGCCTATATTTTAATTTTTTATAGCTCGGCGGGGGATGCGAGCTAGCAATGATGTGCGACATCATCTACGCCGGTGAAAAAGCCAAGTTTGGCCAGCCCGAAATCCTCATCGGTACCATCCCGGGCGCTGGCGGCACCCAACGTTTGACTAGGGCTGTCGGTAAATCGAAAGCCATGGAAATCGTTCTCACAGGTAAAATCTTCACCGATATAATATTTAACTGTCAGAGTCACCAATTTTTGGTTTGTGGACAGGGAGTCAGGTATCGGCACAAGAAGCCGAGAAAATGGGCCTCGTGAGCAAGGTTTTCCCAGTCGACAAACTCTTAGACGAGGCGATAAAACTGGGGGAGAAAATAGGCAGTAATTCTCAACTTACGACGGCTATCGCGAAGGAATGCGTCAATACTGCGTTCGAAACGACTCTCGAGCAAGGCTTGCACTTCGAGAAGAGGATGTTCCATGGCACTTTCGCCACTAAGGATCAGAAGGAGGGTATGGCGGCTTTCGCTGAGAAACGCCCTCCAAAGTTTGTTAATGAATAAAAATTTATTCAATCGAGATTGCTTTTCTATGTTTTTTTTTATAAAAATGTGTATGTTTTAATTTTCTAATAATAATGTGTTTAAAACTCGGTTACAGGACATTTACAGGGTGTTCTTCTTTTTACTGATCAATTTTAAAAAACTTTTTTTGTTAAATAAATATCACGCAAGTCGTAATGTATATCAAATTCTTTGAGTGAGCAAAAGTGAACACTTGGAATATAAAACTGATCTACCCACATACAGATTCTTTTCAGTCGAACAGGAATAATTAACACTGAGAGGGTGCGATGCCACACTGTTAGTTCATATTTAGTGCGCAGTAGAGCAACCACCCGAACTTGCTAAAAGTTTTTTAATTTCATCTGGTGTAAACAATTTCTCCATGGCTTCTTTATATTTCTCCAGTTCCGCAATTTTTGCCTTTAGTTCCTCCACATCTTCACATTCGGTCTTTATCCTGAAACTGAAATGTAAACAATATGTAAAAAGTAATAGTACAATAGCTACTAGAGTTACTAACACCATAAAGCAAAAAACAAGCACGAAATTAATTGAAAAATCAAAGTAATTATAAGTACTTACTCTTCGTTATTGCCAAGATTATTTTGCAACCCTTCAACTGAATTTTTTGAATCTGAATTGGATTCCGGTATATTGGGCAAATATTGACTAGGTACAGCTGTTTTACTGATCATTCGGTGGTTCTTGTTTTTATAATTTAGCAACTCCTCGCGCAAATTACGAGCATAGTCCGTTGTTTTAAAATGCCTCGAACACATCCTTGCATTTTTGGTGTTAAATATGTCTTTCCGACCACAAGCTTCAATCCAAATTTTCAAAATTGTTTCGTCGTTTGGAAAACGGAAAAACATTATGTCCTTATTAAAGGTTTTGCCTTGGTTGTCTGAAATACAACCAAAAACGGAACAACGCATTTTTAAAACACTGACGATATTATTTTATAAATATTTATAGATTATTTTCTTAATAATTATCACCACGCCACAATAATCAACCTGTATTCAGGTGCTACAAGTCTCTCTAAAAATAGACACTGTTAGAGAAAAATATGTACACATAGACCGCATGTGGGTATACCAAATAACAGAAACACACAATACAACTATTTTAGAACACAGGACAAGGAATTCCAAAGCCAATGTACAAAATATATAGGTTAACAACAGTATCTGTATGACAGGACGACCGGCACGAGCATAGATATCCACAAATCAGTGTTTATTCTCCACTTGACGTCATAACATGGCCGTATGGTTATCTTCAGCTGTGATTTGTTTTACTGAGATATGAGTTAGTCTCACTTAATTGATCAACCAATTTTCAGAATAGCTGAAATTAGTTCAAATCTCAGGTAAATTAAGAAGAAGATTGTGCTTTTTCCTTAGAATGGTATTTTATATTCTATCATGCAGTGTTGCCAACGTTACAGAATCCGTTATATGGCATTTAAAAAAATGCCAGAAGAGTTAAATTTGGTGTATAAATACGTCAATTCTAGTTTGCTAGATTTTACTTTATAAAAATTTATTTTGGCTATTAGCCTTGGCATGCGTTCCGTAATTACCTTCAGTGCAATTTCAGTAAAACGCACTAAAATTTTTATTAAAAGAAGTTGGCGGCCTCGCTATAAAGAAACTGGAAAACTACGTAGTAGTTAATGATTGCCCCAAACTATGAGCAAAGAAGACAAAATTTCGAGATTTGTTAAGGGCCCCATATTCTTTAAATAGTGTTTTCCGCAAAGACAAATAATTTCAAACATTTAATAACTGAATAATCTAAAGCTTATCAAATAATAGGAATGTTATGTCATGCCACCTGAGTATTTTCAAAGACGCCGCAGTAAAACGAATAAACAGGTGCAAAAAACGATCAAACCATTAAGGTTTTAGGTACTGAAATCTACGAAAATACTATCTTTTTTATATATAA